CGAAACAAAAGTTACGATTTAAGTTTTAACAGTAAGGAAAGAATCCGCACCCTAGCAATTTTGAATACAAATCTCTGGCTGTAAAAGAAAAACGTAGAAAACCGGCCTCGTAAGGGGAATGTGGAATGCGATTCATATATTAAATTGCACCAGGCGCGAACTATTTGGAAATTAGACAAAGCATTTTATGTGAATCCGACCTTCATTTAAAATTGGGACTGATAATTAGTTTATTTTTTTTAAGCTGCTCAAAAGAGACAGCATGCTAGAAAATATTTGAGAGAAACGCAGTAGTGTTATGTTTAAATTTTAAGACCCCTAGGAAAAAGAGGCTGTACTTGAAACAATGTTGAAATTAATTTAATATGAATATTAATTGTTTATTTATTATGTATTATTTTGTCCACATTCGAAGTTTCCCCGCTGAACCTAGAGGGGTGATTTTCCCATAGTGCAACGCATGCTTATTTTCGGTTGCATTATTCCCACAATGCAATGCATACAGTGACGCCGACGGCGACGCCACTCAACCTAAAAATGGGCTCCTAAGAGCTGCGCTCTAAAAAAGTTGCACAAGGAACCGGAAGCACTCTGTGCATTTAACATGGCGTCGTATCGCTGGAGTCACGGGCTTGACGGCTGAGCGAAGCTGACTATAAGATGGCGGCGAACGACGGGCGTACGTCTTCCACCTTTGAACTGTTTTTCGCGGCACCCGCATACTGTCTATGCTTCGAAAGAAAAATCGCTTAACGATCAAAGCAGTTGGAATTTATCGGTTTATTCCTGTCAGTTGAATGTCCTTTTATTTATTCTTTCAAGTTGGCGTTCTCGTAAGTTCGAGAACATTCTCGTCTGATCAAGTTCCGAATGTTCTACGCGTCAAAAGTTCTACGCCGAATGTTCCCGAAACCCACGCGTGTACAAAAGAAACTCCGCATGGCCGAGCGGAGTCAGTCTCGCTTTAGCGCTCGGTCCTGCTGTTTCGCCGACATCGACGCTTGCGACGCAACCCTTTCTCTATTTTGTTTTGGGCACACGTTCGCCCCATTAAACGGTTTCTTGAGTTATGCGCCGCCTCATCATTTGTCACTCGTGACATTTTGGTGGAGATGCGGGGCACCACATTCCATGCCCGTGAAACGTACCATTTACAAGACCTGTAGGCCCGATCCACTTTCCAGTCCCAGAAAACTAATCCCCGTCGACGAAGCGGAGACCCGAGCCGGCCGCCGTAACCAAGGCCAGACTCCGGAGTCGGGTCAACTACCAGAGCAGTCGAGGAAGAAGAAGACGCCGACGCTGAATACCACATCGCAGCAAGACGTAACGCCAGCGACGTCCATCGTTTAGGTGCGGACCCCGCCACGGATGTTGGCGACTTTTAATGGCGACATTTACGAAGGAGTGGACGACTGGTTAAGCTAGAACGAGCGCGTCGCCCGGTTCAACGAATGTGAGCTGAGCAGAGCCTGCGGAACGTCTACTCTGCTTTGGAAGGCACGACCCGAACCATGCACGAAAACCACAAAGCGTCGTTTTCATCGTGGGAAGAATTTCAGGCCAAGCAACGACGAACCTTTGTCAGCCAGCAGCGGCGACAGCGGGCCGATGAACTTCTGCAAACAAGAAGCCAAAAGCCGAACGAGAGCGTTACAAGCTTCGTCGAAGACGTTCTCCGCCTGATGAACCGCGGTGGCCCAAAAATTTCCGAAGAGAAGAAGCTGTGGGTCATACTGCGGGGAGTGAAGGAAAGCATCTTCGGAGAACTAGTTCGAACCCTTCGTACCACCGTTGAAGGATTCATCACTCAGGCCACAAACATAGAACGTGACATTCAAGCACGGGCCTCGCACTACCAGCGACTCCCAGGCATCGGTGCCCTCTCGCCTTCCTGCTGCGACATCCCGGACATCCACCAAATCATTCGCGACGCCGTCCGGAATGAGCTGAGGAAGCTCTTGCCTGCTCACAGCAAACCGGCTTCGCTGTCAATTGCCGAAGTTGTCCGCGAGGATGTTCAACGGGCATTCCATCCGGAGGTTCCTGAGAGCGTGATAATACCCGAAGAGCCCTCCCTGACCTACGCCGCAGTGGCTCGGCGACCGGCGTCAGCTGCCCGGTAGTATTCCACGCCGCCTCGACGTGAGCCAGAGCCGCAGACCTTCTGACTTCGGGAAGGGCAGCCTCAGCTCGTCCGTACTGAACAACCGGCGCCTAGGAAGACGGAAGAATGGCGCACGGCCGATCGACGACCGCTTTGTTATCACTGCGGCGAGGTGGACAACGTCTACCGGAGGTGCCCGTACCGACAAATGCGCTTGTGAGGTTTTTCGCAGAGCGGCCCGCGACCCCGCCTTGGGGAGTGACCAAGAAACATCAGAGTACCTCCGACGACCCCAGTGCCCAGTCACTTTAGAGGTTCCCGTTCGCCTTCGCCGCGATGAGGGTTCTCGCCCTTCCGCCAATCTCGTCGGGACAGCCTGTCTTCCCTATCTGGTAAGGAAAACTAAGTGCGGTAACGCCTGGAGGTGGCGTTGCCGAAGACAACCGAACTAAAGCCCGAACCACATAGGGCGTATTTGCGACGTATTTGCGGGCGTTTTGGCGTGCGTAATCCCGACGTACGCCGAGCGTCGGGACGAGCGCTTCCGAGGTCGGCGTGTGCGTATTCGGCGATCCTACCGGAACAGATCTCGGCGCATCGGCGTCTTTCGGCGTGGCGTATCCGGAAGCGTACGGCGCGTTGCCGGCCAATCAGCTCCCGAGTTGAGAGCCGGAAGTTGCTCGAGAATCGGCTTGCCTTGCGATGCGTAGCTATGCGGCCGGCTGGCTTGCTTGACTCGGCCGCCGAAATGGGAGTTCACTTGTCGCGTTCGCCGGTTTATCGGCGAACTGTACGAAATTGCTATATCTCTTTGGACAGAGCGATGAACGACTGAGACAGAAGAAAATATTGTCGATGGTTGCCGGGGATGTGAAAAGAATTACAAAATGAAGGGGTTTGAACTTTGAACAGAGATCGCGGCCGTCCTCCTGCCGGGTGTTTTTGGCAAATTGACGGTTGCAACGAACATTCTTGAAACAGGTGTTAGAAAATTAGGCTTTGGTTACTTATGAACATTCAGTTATTTCTGCCCCTTGCGGAACGCAATCATATAGCAGCCGATCTACATTTTGCCTCCTTTCATGAAAGGCGCGAGTCGGGCTACACTGGAACAAACGCCGAGAAGACATCGACGAAAAGCGTCGTGTGTGGTTTGGCGACCTTCCCCTCTTCCCTGCTGTGAAGAAAGCGCCCGCCAAATCCCGTGATCACGCCCGCTGATACGCGTGTAAATTCGTCGAGAATGCGCCCTATGTGGGTCGGCCTTAAAGAACCTCCAAGAACGACGCAGCGCTCCCACCTTTCTCTTTTTTTTTTTTGGGGGGGGGGGGGGGGGGGGGGAGGGGAGGGGCACAAGTTTGCCTTT